AGACTCACCTTCCATGGAAACAACTAAGCCAGTGGTTCTGTATAACAGTGATTAGGACATGGAATTTAAGGTCAAAGGCCTGAGTCATCCTAGCTAGTAGGCTCTTCGCTCTGAAGGAGCGTCACTATTCTGCAGGACAACACTGTTCCTGAAACAGCCTTGTGGGTCTCTCAGCAGCTCCCCTGTGGGTGCGGTGTTAGGGTATCATGAATGAAGTGGTGGTCTTAGGCTCTAGGACATTAAGAGGAGGATGAGGTAGGGGCAGTTAAAGATTAATCTGCAGTTTCCTTCACGGAAGACAATCAATTTTTTTTTTAATTACCTGTGATTCAAAGAAGTCACAAGTCACAGAGACAAAAGTTTTTCTTAATTTTCGGCTCAGCGAACCTATGCAAAGACCAACAGGCTGTAAAAAAAAAAAAAAAAGAAAAATTATGATGTGCTGTGAATAGAACTATAGTGATCATAAAACTATTCAGTAGACTTCCTGCTTACATAGAACACAACAATCAATGTTTTATGCCCCTACTATGTAATAGGCAGACTCATGCCAACCTCTAGATAATCCCTACGAATCACAGATATTAGGCTAAGTGATCTCCTGTACTGTGAAATTCAGGATTTCTTGAATAATGATGTGATTACTAGAAAATTATTTGAAAAAAGACCCTAGTTTTACAACTGCAAGGTCAGTTATGTAAAATACTTTTGTACTCTTTCTACACTATTCTTGGAAATTGGAAAAGGAAACATTAGGAAACGATCCAGGGTGGGGAGGATATGTGAAAGAATCATCCTTCAACCCTTTCTCACAAGAGTCCAAAAATCTACATCAGCTTTGAAGGACCGTGAGAGAAAATCTTTGAATTGAATATGAGACATATTTTGATTCAGAATTGACTGAACAGAATTCTTTCATAAAATACATTGAAGTAAATCTTAGTTACCTAAGTGAAATTAGTCTCACTGAAAATAATCAAAAATCCCAAGTTGTCATTGCCAGAAAGAAAGAGATCCTGCAGAATATGGTGAAGACATTTTCCCAATTAGTCCTTAAGTAAATAAAAGATGTTATTTCTTTGTAGATTACATAATCCTTTATAGGGTATCCTGAGGAATCCAGTAGAAAGTGACGAGCATACACCAAATAATCTTGACTAAAACAGAATAGAACGTTTGATGCATTTTGCCCAACTTTGCTACAACACCAGTGCCCATGACAGTCCTACTAGGTGTTTCCAATGGCCTCAAGATTCCGTTCTTACTGGGGATGACTTCTGTCAATGAAGACTTGTTCTGACTTGCTCCTTCTGAAGGAGTAGTCCAGGGAGAGAAACACCAAGAAGGATTCCAAATAGAACTGAATTTGTGCAGCTAAGGATAGCCATTGAGGAGGTTCATCTACATGTTACAGTTTTCTGTGATCATTTTTACTTTGCTAAGGGATGCACCTGTAATCAAATGAAAACTTATCAGTGCAGGTGGGCCGGCACAATCTCTATTCGTCAGTTCATCCTGAGGTGAACAAGAGCATCTTATTATAAAAACTTATGTATAATTTAGAATTAAAATAAAATATAGATCTCACCTGTGAATAAAATCTTAAATTCTGATGAAACTCAGATACTCACCTCTGAGTTAGGAGACTGAAGTGTGCAGCTGGCCTCGGATTTGGTACAAGGTTCCTCTTTGATTAAATATTCCACGGAGTAGGAAAACCCATACACCCACTGGATAATAATTGAGAAATAAAAATCAGACTTTCCATTAGGGGAAATGATTTGATAACCTGATATTAACAGACTGTACAATCACAAATTGAGGTTAGTCCAGGGATCCTGGTGTCCCAGTGGTAACCCCACCACCATCAAAGCATGAAATGGACTCTGACATGTAGGAAAAAACCACCACACTTTCCTTCCCTTCAAAGGACATGAGAGGGCTCTAAAAGCCTTCACTTGGGTGACCTCATTTCTTCTCAGGTAAATTTTTTAGATGAGTTTTCATCACTTTAATGGACAGCAACATAATGCCTACACAACTGTGACTTCATTGCCCTCAGCACCCACTCCCAAGTCTAACATGTCCAGAAGCTGACTTGCTAAATGGTCCATGGTCACTCAGATCTCAAATGTAGCAATAAAGTGACCCTAAGTAGAAAAATCCAGAGACTGGAAGTCCATTTCCCTCCTTGCCTTAAGGCCACTGAAATGAAAGGAGTCACACACTCACCATGGGGGTGTTCATTCTCACCTGGGCAGAAGCTCTCGTGACTTTGACCAGAGAATATTGCTTCGAGGTGCTCTCATTGTTGTATTTTGCAAGAGACTCAGTGGCAGCTTCTAAAACCTCAGGATTTGATACGTCAATGGGGCGGAGCGTGGGGCAGTCAGGGCACATTGAGTGAATTTTTCTACTAGAAACTGTTGATGTCAAAGAGAGCACCATAATGAGACTTCATGATTTTTAATCCCACTTCTATATAACCACAACAGAGACAGAGATTGTAAATAAAAAAATGATAATGCTGAATTTCGTCAAGGATGGAGTGGAAAGGACACTTTCTGAATAGAAAACTGTCAGCGCTGGGTTTTGTGCATTAAGAATGTATTGCACTCATAATTAAAGTAAAATCATAGGGTGTTTTTCCTGTTCACACCTTGGCTTATGTTTCAGAATGGATATTGTTCAAAACTCATGATGTATACATATGTTTATTCTGATTTAAACACTTTTTTTCCATTGGGTTCAATATCATCAAGAACCACTGCCTCTCTTAGTGGGTCCAGGAGCCTTAAAAGGTTGAGTTTTCTTTACATTATGGCTTTTTACCCATTAGTCCCTAACATCAAACATAATGTCTAATGCATGGTAATATCTAGTAAGTATTTGTTGAATGAATGAATAAATAGCACAATTGAAGGTGGGAACAGAAGCTGTTTGTTAGAAAATGCAACTGACTCAGAAAACAAAATTTGATTAAGTCACTTTGTGACCAGATACAGTTATCACACTAGTGGTACAGTCAGAATTTCTGATTGGAAGCAGGTGGAGGGGGCAACTCTAGTGAGAAAGTTGATCAGGGGACTTGACTGAAATTCATTTTTTAGAGTAAACATATTGTTGAGACAACTGTGTTCAGACAACTAAACTAGTCATTTGCGTATTTATTGTGGAGGGGTTTGGAGGTTTAGGTTAAGGGGTAGTTATGAGCAGCTTATCACTCTTGGCACTATTGTGAGGTCACTTCTGACTAACTTATTTAAGTCTTGATTCTGATTAATTGTTGTCCCTCAATTTATAGTTGAGAAGTCCCATCTTTATGACCAGGAAGCTTAGATGGTGGTAAATAATGGATTTGCTTGATTGCATTGTCCCTCAAGAAAAATGCAAATCAGTTATCACCCGGATTTGTTGAGAAATGTAGGGTCTCTGTCTCATCCCAGACTTAGGGACTCAGAAATTGCACCTGAATATGACTGCCCAGGGGAATCACGTGCACGTAACATCATGATAAGTGGTCATAACCTGCTTCCCAGGTGCTGAATGCTGCTTATACAAGCAGGACCCAGAACGCACCCACTTACATATATCAAATATCATGACTTGCAGCATCATTTTAGGACATTTGTTCATTATTTAGACATCATAGTATACTTAATATATATGAAAGGAATAAGGAGGGTGGTAGCAGGCAGCAAGAAGAGATGAAAAGTTTCCATGGTATATGAGCTAAGCCTCTAGAACAAGGCAGGGCATGGTGTGAGCTCCAGGAATGGTCAGGTTAAAGGTTTACAGGGACGTAGAGAGGACAGCACCCTTATTTCTTGAATAGAGAACACTATGTCAGTGTTCCTCACAGATGGTCATGAGTTCCACAACTGAGTCTATCAGGTGTGTTCAGAAAACAGGGAAGCACCCAGCTGTGTGGAGAGCAGAGCTGTGGGGTCTGAGAGAATCTCTGCACACATGGCGAGAAAGACCAGCTGGGCACCCAATGTAGAAATTAGGACATTTGTAACAGACCGGGAGTTAGGATTTAGAGAGCTTCACATTGCTGTGCTTTAACCCCTTGCCCCAATAGGTAGGGCCCTATTCTGATGGCTCTGAGGATGGGAAACCATCAGCTGATTATCATGCAGTTTAACCTATTTCTCCTTGCTGGTCCCATGTGACTGAGTAATAACACATGTTAAATGCATTTTGTCGTTGTCTTTTTTTTTTTTTAGATTTATTTTTATGCATACAAGAACTGAGGTGGAGGCCAGAGGTGGAAGGAAATGAGAGGACACACCAGAGACAGAATAGGGAAAAGAATAGGCCAACTGACTGAAATACACTGCTGAGGGGAGTAGCGGGTGAGACAGCAGAGGTCTGCTGTACCATGTGGGCCACCACCTGGCTGGGACCAAACTCATGATGCAGTGGCTGCGGATAGATTCAGAGTGCTGAGCCTTAACCCCCTGCAACACCAGGGAGGCCCCATTTTGTCTAAATTTTAATAAAATAAACAAAATCAAATTAATCTCTTACCTGGGCGTAGAGTACAGTTATAAGCACGTGTATTGAGAATTCTTGTTGTCTGGGGCATGTATAATAATGCTTTGCATTGACCATAAACCTGGAACAAATACATGCATTTCATGACATGGAAAAATACTCTAAAATCAAAAAAAAAAAAAAAACCCCAAATTACACATTTTAATTTAAAATTTTGAAAATCTGAAGGGCTTTTCTGGTGGCCTTTTTTTTTTTTAAGTTTTATTTTTATTTATGCATACAAGAACTGGGATACAGGCCCGAGGTACAGGGGTAAGAAGATTCACAGAGACGGAGTGGGGAGCAGAACACGTAAATTGACTGAAATACACTGCTGAGGGGAGCAACAGGCAAGATAGGAGATTTGCCTTGCCGTGTGGGTCAATTCCCGGGCCAGGGAGCAAATTTGTGCTACTGTGGCCGTGGAAAGCTTCACAGAGCAGCACTTTGCCCCACTAACCAGGTCCCTATTCCGGTGGCTCTGACTGTGGAAACCCACCAGCTGATTATCAAGCAGTTTAACCTACTTCTGGGACACAGCCAGACTACATCCCCCAGAGTCCTTGCTGGTCCCGTGTGACTGGGCACAGCTGGGTGCTGACACAGGAAGGTGAGCGGAAGGGATGTAACCACTTCCAGGTCTGCCCATGAAGGCCTCCCCTGAGCCCTCTGCCCTCCTGCGGTTCTTGCCATAGCCGAGGCAGATGTGCTGGTGACCACTGAGCTGGGGTAGGAGGTGACAGAGTCACAGCCAGATAGCAAAAGGGCCCCTCACCCCTAGTAAACACTGGAGAAAACCACTTCTTCTTCAGACATTTATATTTTGAACTTTGCATGAACAAGAAACAAACTTCTGTCATGTTGGAATCAGTGTACACTTTACAGTCCATTATTTTCCCACCTAGTGCCTCCTTTAAAAGTATACATTTTCAGCAGGGTTAAAGAGATTATTTGCTTATCCAGATGAGGTAGGTGCAGCCTGGCAAATTTGAGTAAATGATTAGAAAAGTTATCTTGACCCAATAGCTTCCTTCTTAACCTGATCCTGCACTCATGTTTTCAGCTTCCCTTGATAAATGGAAACAGTCTCAGCATATTCAGAATCCTGAAACTGACTTTTGCTCTTCAAGCTCTCCCATGTTCATCATTAAAATGATGAATTCTGAAGGCCTTTTGATTTTGGCAAATCAACCCAGTGTTTTTTAGAGCTGCCACAATGTACGTTTTCCCGTGTCAGCTGCAAAACTCATCAGTTTCATGAACATGAAACCAAAATAAAATGAATACAAAAGCTCTCCCTCAATCACCCCTACAGTCTTTCTAAAACACACAAGAGAGGACTTCATCTCAGACTTTTATCTCAAAGTCAAATACTGGTTTCGCATCTAAAGGAGTGTCGTGGAGGTAGAAAATACTTTGGGTCAACTCGTCAATTCTGGGATTCATAATTCCCAGGGACTCTCGGGAACCCCTCGGAAAAACAAGTTAAACACTATTTTGTTTATAGAACCAGAATGACCACAGGCACAATGCCCAGGAGTTTATAAGCACTTAGAAGATGATCGCCCTGAATAACCTTCACCCCATACAGAGGGCCCCTCTTGTCTCCCCTGGGGCCCCTGGACACAGGCACTTACTGATACATGCAGTGGCCTCCCCTCACATTCCTTCCAAGGCTTCTTGCTGAGCACGTGGCAGTCAGTCTCTAGCACGTCCAGGGTGAGATAATACAAAGTAACCGGTCCAAATTTTGACAGGGGCTAGAAAGGAACCACATCTCGGGTGAGCAGTAACCAGTACGCGCTGGCCCCCACACCCTCCGTTGTATAGCAGAGTCAAGGCTAAGATGCTTGTCCAAACATTATCAAGTCTGCAGTACGACACAAGGGCTAGTTTTGTCTGTGGTGATAATAAGAGCATTGCAGGCACCCTGGCCGAGGAGAGCAGAGCTTGTCAGCAGCTTCCAGTACAGAAAGCACCAGCAAGCTGAGTCCCTGGTGCCCAGCCCTAGCCAGACCAGCCAACACCTGCAGGGTAGGGGGAGGAGGAAATGGGGAGATGGGGGAACCCGGGGGATGGGGGCACCACCACTTGCCTGCCTGTGTTCACGGGCATCGCTCACTCGGTTGAGTCTCAGCACGTAGCCATCCTTGCGGTCCCTGTTGATGTGCTCCAGGGCAACACCAGCAAAGGACAGCACATCTGAGTCATTGCAGCCACGGGAGAGTAAAGGCGATGGCTTGATGGGTGGCAGGTCTGGCCCGGGGGGAGATGTAGCCCCAGTGACCACAGCCAGGGCACAGAGCACCAGGGGCAGGAGCAGACCCATCCTGCCGGGAGCAAGCACAGGATGCGGCAGTCCAGGTAGTCCTAGGGTCAAGCTATTTATAAGGCTTTCAAAGGTCAAGAGAAACAGTTTTGTAATTCCATCTGAACTAGGAACCACGGTTTGAATTTTAAATTTTGTATTTCTGAGTCAATATTGGATGGTATTTGCCAATATTTCTTATTTTAGCTCCCCCTATCACTCCTACCTCACCTAGTTGTGTGTGCGCGCACATGCAAACAACTTTAGGTTTTTAATTGTTGCCCGTGAAATCATAATAAACACTGCAGTCAGTCTCCCTCTTGGTCATGATCACATTCTGCTTGTACCCAGGGTTCCATGTGAATCAGAAGATGCAGGGATCTCACCGCCTCTCTGGTCCCCTGCCACCTCCCTGCAGTTACTGTCATCGGCTACCCTTGGGCTTGTCTCAGGCTTGGATCCTGTGGCCCTGGGGCCAGTGGTGACAAGTGTATTCAGACTTCCTGAGAAAAGAGTTAGAAATGGAAAGAAGCTTCTAGATTGGAGCATCCTGGAACATCCATTAGTCCATGGATTATTTTCCTGCCCCTCCTTCTTCTCACTCCTCCTCCCACCCCATCCCCAGGGGTCTTTGCTCAGATGAGTGCTCAGGAGCCCTGCTGCACCCCTAGAAGCAGGGTCTAGGAGGGCCTCACAATCATTAGCATGTTATGGCATCACCCCGGATGCCTTGAGGGGACAAACTTATTTTAGACCACAATTGCCCACACTTCCTAGGCCATAAGAGAAGATTTGTAATGAACTCCAAACAAGTTTTGGAATTGCTGCACAAGTGGATACATAAGGATTGCTC